TCAAACATGTTTTTATTTAATAAAATAAACTTTGTGACGAACAGCAACGGGATTAATTTTAAAATTGTACTGAAAAGGTATTTTTTTTAAATTTAAGTTTTTTAGACATTTTTTCTGTCGAATATGAAGAAAAATAACGTGTTTAATTGTGTAAGGAGCAATTTGCAAAAAAAAAAAAAATTTTTTTGCGTTTTATTGAATTGTTCTTGGTAAGATGCAGGCCAAATTTTCCATATGTTCACACTTGATATTGCATAATTTTATTTTTGCTGAAATAATATCTTCAGGGGTTTCTTTTTAATTTTATAACTAAAAAAGTTGGACGAAGAAGAAACTGTCCCAAATGAAAAAAAGAAATATACACGTTATATCGAAAAGGGGGTGTGAAACATTCCGCAAAAATATTTCCCCAATGTTTTTTTTTTTTTAATAAAATGACCTATTCAGTAAAAAAATTATTAATTCATTATTAATGAGTCCTGAAAATTTCGTTTGAATCGGACAATTCCCTGATTTTTTTTTGGCAAATATTTTATAACAGCAGGTATCGAGTTTTTGCTTTCATTGAGGAAAAAGTATTATTTTTTTGTTTTTAAGTAGTACAGTGTAACCCGGATATAAGAGAGTTAGGACCGGAGAAGAAGTCTCTTATATCCAGGTTTCTCTTATATCCGGGTTTGGTCTATTTTATATACATTAACACAGGCTCTAATTTGGGACCAGAGAAAATCTCTCTTATATCCGGGTTTCTCTTATATCCGGGTCTTTTATATCCGGGTTACACTGTACCTTCTTTAACTTAGCCAGTGTGATCCAACGACTCCAATAACTTGCAAAACTTTTTTTTGCCAATAACTCGTTCAACAAGTTCTTTCTAAATAATTTTCAAACTGTTTTCCTTATAAGTCACTACATCTTGTATCGACTGATGACTAAATTTTTTATTGCCAATAAATAAAATAAAAATAATTGCAGTCAGTGTGTTTAGAGACGGAAAATGCAATTACTGTGACATGGAACAAAATCTGTTTTAAAATAGCATTTAGAGTTACCTCCCTTGTTTCTTGCCGGTGTTGAGACCATCGCAAAAAGAAAGTGAAAAGACAAATTTAATTTTCGTTATGGCCACAATTCCTGTTTGGTATCAGCGAGTAATTTCTATTTCGGCCAAGAAGAGGGGATGCCACTTAATACAGAAGGAAGTTGAGAATGCCATGCCGGAAATTAAAACTCTTAAACACGGACTTTTACACATTTTAAGTAAGACTGTCAAAACTCAAAACACACGTTTTTTTCTATATAATTTTCATTTTCAACTACTTGAAGTTTAACAATGTAAAATAGTTTTCCTTAATTAATCACAGAAAATTTACATGAATCGCTAAAAATAGTAAATTTAGAAAATTTTAAAAAATTAGAGTGAATAAATACTGCAATTCTTTTCATTATGGAATTAGAATTAGAATTTAAAAAAAAATGTAACTTGTAAAATCAAATTGTAAAATTTAAAAAAAATGAACAATATCATTTTCAAAATTAATTGTACATTGATTTAAAACGAAACCTTTTTAATTTGATTTAAATCTCAAAAGTTGTTAATAATTGTTATTAGCTTGTTTTATTTATTTTTATCTTATTTTTTGAGTAAAAATGTCGAATATTTGAATCATAAGTGAAAGAAATATTCTTTTTTTTTTCTAAAAAAAAGGTATGGTTTATTTTTTTTTACTCTTCATAAATTTCTTAATTTTCATTTTTCATTGATTGTTTTTAAGGCTTTTCTAAGACGCAGAAACAATTTGATAATATTTTAAATTCTGAATTCTGTGTAACGATTCCCTTTTTAGTGAATAATGAAATCCTTAAATGTTAAAAAATGTGACTGAAAGTTGCAACTTGTATTTATTTACATTTACTCGGACCGTTATCCTCATCTTCGTTGCCATATTCATAACATTTCGGCCGTTGTACGCTCCGGCCTTCTTCAGGTGATTGGAATTTCGAACCGAACCTTTTTTTTCGTTCAATACAAGGCCACAGCAGTGGTGAACCAACAACTAGGAGAGTTGAGTAAAAGGAAACACCCGGAAGAAGAGGCATGGCACGTGGACAAAATAAAGGGTTCGGTTTTTGAAATTCCAATCACCTGAAGAAGGCTGGAGCGTACAACCTGCTGAAACGTTGTGAATATGGCAATGAAGATGAGAATAACAGTCCAGGTAATGTAAATAATTCAAGTATTCATCCTCATCTCAGAGAGATAGACAGATGAAGGTTGCAAGTTTTAAAAAAATGTACTGAATTTAAAATTTAATGTGGGTATAAAAATCCCTTGGACAAAACTTTACAAAGATTGGTTCATTATTGACCAGGCTTGTCCTGCTAGTAAAAAAAAAAAAAAAAAAATATAAGAAAAGGTATAGTGTGGAAACCTCTACCCTCTCATGAAGTTATCTCTATGGCAGCTACCAATTTACACAGTCTCTTTTCAATTTTTGATTTGTAAATATACTTTCTATTTAATTACAATATCACCTAAAAAAAGTAATACAGAATTTTAAACGATTTTTAAATTATGATAAATTATTATAATTAAAATTTTAAAAAAATGAAAAAATTCATTATTTATCAATATTTTGACAATAAAACTTTGTTTTTATTAAGTTTGGGGCCTTTTTTTCATCATGCTATGATAATTTTTTTTAGCAAAAAGCAGACGTTTCTAGTCTAAAAAGTAACAGGATGTTACAAAGCAGATGTTATCATTGGTGATCGCACATCTTAATAATTTATGTGCTAATGTAATAATCGGGCATGATATTCTGAGCCTACAGTCTAAAGTGAAAAACTTATTTTGGGGGAATCAAACCTCCTCACTCCATATGCAGTTTGACTACAATGAAGGCTCCCTATTCTGTGCTTTTCGATAATCTCTCTCCCAATTGTAAGCCTATAGCTATCAAATCAAGGAGATATTCTGAAGCCAATACTACATTCATTAACTTTGAAGTAAAACGGATGTTAGCCAAAGGGATTGTGGAACCTAGTTTATCTCGATGGAGAGCACAAGTGTTGGTTACTGGTGGTCAAAATCATAAGAAATGCTGAGTGGTGGACAATTCTCAAACCATTAGATTTACTTTACTATGCTAGATGCTTACCTAACATTAATGATTTAATAGAAAAGATATTCAAGTACTGATTGTTTAGTTCAGTTGATCTGTGCAGCACCTACCACCAGATAAAAAACAAGATAAACATTTTACAGATTTTAAAGCAAAAGTCAAACTTTATCAGTTCTGACAGGTCCCTTTCAGGGTTACAAATGGGGTCACAGCTTTTCAAAGTATTATTGACCAAATAATTAGGGATAACAACATTAAAGACACATTTAACATTAACTTTAAAGTCCCCCCTACCACCAAATAAAAATCAGTATATGTTAACTGTAACTGACAAATTTAGCAGATTTCTTTTTGCATTTTCCTGCAAGGACTTGACTCATCTTATTGACTGTTTGCAAATTATTTTCTGCCTATTTGGAATATTGGTGTATATTCATTCTATCAGAAACAAGTCATTTCTTTCAAAAGAACTCGCCACATTTTTGAACATGCAAGATATGGCTAGGAATCGTTCAGTTATTTATATTCTGTCTGGGAATAGTCTAATAGAACATTACAATGGGATAATTTGGTGAAACATCTCTGGCTTTGTGTTCATGAGGTTTCCATGCCTCCATGTGGAGGACAGTACTGCCACAGGGTCTTCATTGCATCTGGAACATGATGTATTCAGCTACTAATAAAAACCCACATGAGAGAATGTTTCATTACCAACACAGGATAGCAAATAGGTATTTGTTCCCTTCATGGTTTATCTCAACCCAGAAGTGTTTTGATGAGACGTCATGTACACCAAAGTAAGTTTGAACCACTGGTAAATGAGGTTGAGCTACTCGAGGCTAACCCTAATTATGCACACATACGCCTACAAAATGGATGTGAAACTACAGTTTAACTAAGAGACGTGGGTCCCTCAAGGTGACAGATTAACAGATCAAAATTCTACTGATAGCTTCAATTTGATGCCTGAGCAAGACAAGCAGACTGCTGATGCTGACCAGATGCACTCAACAGAGGAAATGCCTGAAGTTCAAGAAAACTCTTTCCCTGAACAAAGCAAAGACATAACCCAGCCTTTTTCTCCAGTCATATGCCATTCTATGCGTATCAAGCAAAAACCCCATTACTTACAAGATTATTTTGAATAAAGCATTTTAACTTAATCTTAATAACCCCAAGCACTGTTCTTAGTTGGTGGAGGAGAATGTTTTGGGGACTACTATTCTGCTCTCACCGCCACCTCTATTTACTGATACTACTCCTAACACAACCTATAAAAACTGTATTCTAATCATAGAAGAGTTCCGTTAACAACCGAGCAATGTTCTATGTTGAATAAAGCTAAATACTTTCTTCTGAGCTCACAAGAGTGAGTTTGATCACTGGGTGCCTCACTACTTGTCAGCTTGTATATCCCTTTCTCCTAAAACTTATACTATAAATTTGGTATATTTTTGTTATCCATAGGCCATTCATGTCACGATTCCCACTTTTAAAGCAGTATAACAGGATAGACAATTTATATAAAAATATAATTATTATGAACGAAAGTTTGATTACTCACTGGGCTAGTGTTCTGATATATAAGGAGTTTTAGCTCTTGCATGTATAGCTGGAACACTTTAAATAACCTTTGCAATTCATTTAAAGACAGAAAATATTTTTAGATGATGAGAATTTTTTTTATGATAATAGTGATTTAGTAATATAAGTCTTACTAATTAATCCATAGCTGGGATGAGAAGTGGTGGATTCATACTTTTCCCAAGGGTTTTTGTACATAAGTGAATTTAACAAACCCAACTGGATTTGGAACTCTGTTCTCTGATTAACAATTCTAAGCCATTATCCATTACACCACCTGCACACCTAAGTTTACACCACCTAGTATTCCCAAGTTGTCACCCATCTAGGTACTGGCCAGGCTCGACATTGCTTAACTTTGGTGAGTGTATGGGAACCGGTGTAATTGGCAATGAGGATTAAGAGAAAAAATGGAAGGTAAAGATTGAAGTTTGTTTATTCTGTCTTCTTTGTGATACCAAAAAACAGCAAAGTGGAATAAGTGCAAAAAAAGTCTTTTACAATATACCTGACAGATTTAGTAGACATACAATGAGACCAGAGGCTTTTTTATTACATGTTTGAGGACAAGACCTGTAAGAATTATTTGAAACTTTTATGTTCAAAGATAGTGTTACCACAGAGACCTCAAAATATCCTAATTCTTCCACACCCTATAACCCCTTGTGTCTTAGTGGCTTTACTGCCTTGCATGGGGTGATACCAATTAAAAAAAAATTACTCCTTGAAGGGATTTGGATTGTTATGCCCAAAACTCTTAGGATACCTGTAGTAAAAATTGCATATAAAGGTCACCATGGAATAATTAAAATAACGGAATGACTGAGAATTAAGAACTGTTAAGCCCATTAGTGACAAAGAAACAATGATTGTATTCATGCCATGATCATCAAACTGTTAGTACCTGAACCTATAGCCAGAACGAAATTTCCTGAGGGTCATGAGTATATCTCGCTATTGATTTACTATGACTTTTATTCAGTGAAAAGTCCTTATTCATAGTTGTATATTCACCTTCATTTTAAAACAATCATTTTCTAGTTTACTACATCAGTTTTTATATTATAGCTTTAAAAATAGACATTTCAAAATAATACCTATTCGTTAATACAGACAAATATATTAAAACAAAGGAAGTGCAAAGGCAAAAATAAGAAAAAAAAATTACTCGCTGTAAAATATTGAATTGAATAATATAACTAAAAAGTGACAATGTCAACAAAAAAGAAGTTAAATAGTTATAACCAGTTAGCTTATTTTTTTAAAAAATTGTTCAGGTTAGATTGTTATTCATTTATTGTTATATCATGTTATATCATTGATTGTTATTCATTTAGATTTCTTAAAATGCAGTGAAACACTGAATACACATTTATATCTTCAGCAGCTGCAATGTGTCCATAAAGGCTTGGTCCAAATGTTGTTTGCCTCCATGATAGTGCAAGGTCTTATACAGCACGAATGACATAAGAAAAAAAAATTGGAACTTAATTGATCCCATCTACCCCACCTGCTGTATTTACCTGACCCTGCACCAACTAATTATTACCTTTTCTGGTCACTACAAAATACTTTGATAAGGAATACTTTTTTTAATGAAAACCAGATTCAAGTGTTCTTCAAACATTTTTTCACGTCAAAATCCATGGAATTTTACTCAAGGGTTATTGAAGAACTGCCTGATAAGTGGGAACAAGTCATTGCAAATAAAGATGAATATATAATTCAAAATGTAATGGTACTTTATTTTTTCAAAATTCAAAATGTAATGGTACTTTATTTTTGACGTAATATTTTTTGATCTAATCTGTCAAGAATAAATGGATTCTTATTTTTATTTCTTTATTTTCCAGTCAAACATACATCAGCAAGTATTGGCTTAAATGAGGTAGGTAACAATAAGAGTGTCACTAGTTATCATATTATTTATAGACTTATTTATAAAGTCAAGTAAATGGCATTTTATTTGTAGATGTTCTACATATAATTTGAAGCCTTAGTTTGATTAGTTCATATTTTATGTGATAGACACAATATTTGAACTATACATTTTTGGTGTTCTTTCATGTTATTGGTGGTTTACATTTTGTAATAGTAACAGATGTAAAATTATCCAAATTTCTTAGATGAAGAATTGCCTTTTATAAGTTCTTATTTTCGCTTTCTTTCACCTTTTGTCTTGCTTTTTATTGCAACTCTCAGATTTTACAACCATTAACTAAGCAGTATGATTAATGTTATAAACATGCATACATGTGTTTATAACATCAATCATACTTGTTTCATATACCATACTTGTTTCATGTATTCTGTCATGCATGACAATCGTACTTGTTTCCTGTATCCTGTCATGCATGACAATTGTACTTGTTTCATATATTCTGTCATGCATGATAGAATATATGAAACAAGTACTGCTGGTGAGGCAAAAGGAAAAGAAAACAAGAATTGTTAGTATAAAATTTTTTGTATTACTGAAACAGAGGATGTGAGCTGAATGTCTCTTTGTGGCCAAGGGAAGTGACTTTGAGGAAAGATAGAATTGGTTGGGCCTGGAGTAGATGTGTCTGTCAGGTCAGTTGGCCAAGGTCACTGATGGTGACATTGAGAGCTTGCTAGTGGCAGATTCCTTGAAACTTGCCTATTCACTGCAATTCTATTTCAGTCGTTATGAGTGGCATTTTTAACAGCAAATGTGGTGGCTCATGAAATCTTTTTTCATGTTTTTTCTTTGGCAATATTCATGATTGGCTCCTTTTATATTGTATTTTATATTTTTTGAGAGGATTTGTTTTGTGAGCTGGATGTGATGTTTGGAGCCATGATGCAGAAGACAACTTTTTTTATTTTTAGTTTTGTCTTAGCGTTCACATTCAGCCGACATGTAGAGTGAATCAGAAAGATCTAATTTGAAGCAGAGTATAACATTGAAAATAAAAACTATTACATTCACTTCTTTTATATGCCACATCCCTTCCGAACATAAGCAATTATGGCTCTCCACAACTTCTTATTACTTGTGGCTCTTAGTAGTTTTTCTCCTATTGCTAAGGCTTCTCCCTTTAAATTCTGCTATCCATTCGAACAAGCTTGTCAGGTAAGTGGCTCACTACCTTCCTCTGCTTCTCTTGCCCTCAATATACCCCAGTGAGGAGTTAAGTTTTCTAAGTTCTCTTTCCTCATTATGTGTCCATAGAATTTCAGCTGTCTTTTTCTGATTTTCAGTAGAAGTTCTTTTTCTGTTGGCATTTTCTTTAAGATTTCTTTGTTGTTTACTCGATCCATCCATGGAATTTTCAGTATCCTTTAGTAGAACTACATTTCTGCTGCCTCTAGTTTTCTCCTCATCCGTTGGGATATTGCCTAATGTTCACTGCCATATAAGAGGAAAGATAACACACAGCAATCCAGGACTCTTTGTTTCTAACGAAATTCTTTTGTTTCTCGGCACCTTGATTAGCTTTTGGAATGCTTCATTCACTAGTCCAATGCCTCTTTTGGTCTCAGTGTCACATTTGCCATCCTCCATTAAAACACTTCCCAGATATTTAAATTTGATGTTGACATCTCCAATTCATAATTTGCATCTTGGGCCTTTTCTCTTGCTGATGACCATACTTTCTGTCTTCTTACAATTGATGGTTAGTCCTTTTTTTCTTGCTTGCATCTATAACCCTGTCTAGATGAACCTGCAGTTTACTTTCTGAGTCAGCCATCAATACAGTGTCATCTGCATATCTTATATTGTTGCAATATGGCATAGTATAAATCAGAGAAGTAAAGAATATAGCCAGTATTGCTTATTTCATTGACACCTAAGGATGAAAGCTTTTATGACCAAAATGGTAACAATTCTTTCATAGTAAGACAAGCTAATAAAAATCAGAGATATAGGCTAAAATCTTTAATGACATACTTTTAATTGCATATTTAACAGATATAGGATGATGACAGTTGTAATAAATATTATATATATATATATATATATATATATATATATATATATATTTTCTATCTTGATCTCTAACAAAATTTTAATAACATGAAACATGTTAGATCTGTTTTCTACTTGTTTTTATCCTATCATATATATATTTATTATCTTTTTAGGCATGTCTGATTGAATAAATTACAGACATTATGTCTGCTTATTTTGATCATAATCCTTTCATATTCATGAATATTTTTCTGTATACTACAAGTAAATAAGGCAAGAAATGCACTGTAACTGAGAATCAATTTTATTTCCCAAGTACTTTCCATCTGTTTCTGAGATCATCATCAGGAGTGCAACTGGTAAGGCAAAAACTGAGTGTAGCTATCCATTACTGAATTTCTTTTTCTTTTTCATTTAAATGAAATGGCTGACATGATAACTATTCACATTCTAATGAATGCTAAAGCATAACTGTCATTTCTTTAAATTTTAGCTCTTTTTGCCTCTTCTACCTTTCTGGATAATGGTAATCTTTAGGTTGGTGGATTGTAAATTGGGTGCCATGCACTAATAGGCTAAATAGTTTAAATATCCTTGCTTAGTTAATCAAACCAAAGAAGTTATGAAACTTGCTAATTATTAAATCCAGAGAATGGCCGCAAACTTTTGGCTTACAATGTAAGTAAGAATTATTGTATTCTATAGAATAACTGTTTTGCCTTGAGTAACATAAGATAACTTTTAAAGCATAAATTTTAAGTGAAATTTACCATTGCTATTTTTTTTTGTCTTGTTGCTTATTTAAATATTTCAATGTCTTTTTTGTTCTTCAGAATTGGGACTCTGATGTCAGGTAAGGTTTTCCTACTTTTTTATAAGGATATATTCACTGTATATTCACAAGGGGGTACTGAGAAATTCTCAGCCTGACAAAGTAGGGATGCTGAAACAAATTCTAATATTTGACCATTTGTGAGGTGTATCGACATATCAGAAATTCTTGCAGTCCTCTGTTGAATTTGCACTGTTTTGGATTTATATCCAAAACCCAGACAAAGGCAATCCATCACTGTCGGAATACCACACCCATGACGCACTCTGGCCAATTGCTAAATATTCTGACTCTAGCCTTTGCATTCTGTAACACAGGCAGAGAAAGCATTTCATTTTTTCTATTTTTAGAATGATTACTTTGCTATTTAAATGTAAAAACAATCTTAGTTGGCAATAATATAAGTGACTATAAAAAGGCACTGTTGATTATTAATGGTTAATTTATTTAAATAATGCACTGATGTGCTTACGTCACATGGTAATAATTCTAAGTAAAGTTGTCCACTAAAATAAGTAACCAATTAATCATTTTAAGTTCTGAAGATCAGTGCTTTATTGTTTACACTAGTAATACTAGTAAATGTAATAGATTTTATTTTCAATTCAAACTACTT